TACATAATTTGCATAGTAACAGTTCTGTATTTGAAGGTAATGTGTAGTGAAAAAAATATCAACCTACATAGGTCAGAGGTTAAAACGATAAACACATATAATGCATTGAAAAGTAGCCAACTCAAAGATGGTGGGCTGCAAAGGATGATGGGAAATAAGCTATCCAAACTACAAAACATAGGGGCACTACTCAGAAACTGAGTTTAATCCTACGGTAAATAACCAAATTTGTCACAATACTAACAAAAATTTTACTTCTTTTTTTACTCTTGTGAAACATGTCTTTTTAACTAGCACGTTATTTTAGCCAATTTAGCTAATCCATAATATTACTCATTCAAGAATTAATTAACAGAAAGTACTGTAAAACATGTTTAAATAGCTACACGCCATTTTAGCGAATTTGAAATTTGCACGAATTAACTGAATCTTAATTTAGCTAAAGTGCCAACAATCTCATTGTGAGAATATACTTTATTTTAAATTAGTAACATCTTGAATTAGCAATTAGCTAAATTACAAATTAGCTAAATTAGCTAAAATAACATGCTAGCTAAAAAGACATGTTTTACAGTATGTTTTTCATAATAAAATTGTTGGCACTTTAGCTAAATTAAGATTCTGTTAATTTGTTAATTTAGCCAACTTGTGTTAAAATGGCAGTGTTTTAAAATATAGATGCACTTCTAATGTATTTGTTTGTTTATTTGACAGTGAGGTAGGGAGTGGCGGTTGCTGCAATATGTGTTGTAAGCTTGGATGCATTGCTTCCTGTGGGTAAGTTGTGCAGAAGGAGGCAAACTAAATTTTACATCAATAGAGCACAATGCGTTCTGAGAGAGAATCTCACAGTAAATATAATGCTAATATCTTATCAGAAATACAGTTAACTAATAAATGAGAATTTAAAATACAAATTTGTGCCATTAGTGTAGTTTTGTCACAGATCAAAAATATTTAGATATGATGGAGTATTTTCACAATAACAACCAATGTAAAGGTAAAATAACAGTTCACCATTTTTGTTGTTGCTCAATAAAGTATTTCTTCTATTAGAAGTGTATCTCCAATTATAGAATCACTCATAAAACAAAAATTTTGCATTCATTGGAATTTAAAATTATAAACAAAATTGTAAATGCATTAATTATTATTTATTTTGCATTTTTCGTAGATAATTAAAATACACTGAATTAAATTCATGCGAAGTTCATGAATTTGGTGAAATTGCTCAAAACATCAAAATAGTGGAATCTGGCCCGATTTTAAGACCTGGTCCAGAGTCTTGTCCATTGTATTCAATGTTCATTTGGATTATTTACTATTATATTCATAACTATTCATTTCGACATGCTATTTCCAACATGTTCTAGTAATCATAGTTAACATGTCTGCAGATTTTTGTATATGAATGAATGAATGAATGAATGAATGAATGAATGAATGAATGAATGTTGTTCTGGAGCAATATCTCAGATTCTGACATGCCATGACCATTCTTGTTTAAACTTTATGTAATTCTTAAACTCACCGGAGGATATGTAATACAATTACTTGTTACTATGACTACCATATTTGCTTTATTATTCTTTATCCATCTCTAATAGAAACACATATATACCAAAAATTGTATTTATTGTGTGCAAAATCATATAAATATGACTTACCTTTGACCTTTGAAATTTATACATTCTCTACTACAAATGTGGTATGAAGAAAAAAACTACATTTTGATTGAAATGTTTTTGAAGGAGAATTTCGCATGTTTCCTGATCATATTAGTTTCTGATTCGTGATTAATGTTGTATATTTCTGCACAGGCTGTGTTGTATGCATTGTGTGTTGAATGAGCCAGTGAAACACACAGGGGAGTGCTACATCAACCATATATGTGTTGACAGTAATTATCGAGGTAAAGGTATCGGTAAATTCCTATTGCAATATGGGGAGTCTGAAGCAAAGAGACTTGGATGCACTGTGAGTTTTTGTTATTTTTCTAATTTGTTTACTATTGAAAGGCAGAAAAGGATGGTGAGTTTTAGCAATTAATTGCCATCTACTGTAGATGATGAAGTGTTTGTCTGTGTAGTCATGTGTCTGTCATGTTTGATGTGGTTTTTATACATTATCGATCAATCTGTCTTTGGTCTCCCCATTGTGATTTTTGCATTTGGTCTCTATTTAAAGTTTATTGGCTTCCCCAATGTTTCTTTGGTTTCTCCACTAAATTTGGCCGCTGTGGCTGTGGCCTCCCCATTCTCAGTACATATTCACTTCATAAAAAGAATATTGTATCCTAAACATCCTAAACAAACCAACATGTTTTACCTAATATCCATTCTGGCACAGTCGGTAGTCAATTTTAGTTGTTTAAGTTCTTTCGAAACCATGAAAGCAACAACAGCTGACACAGTGGCAATGCAGTGAACAAGGATTTTGTATGCGCAGTAGTTTCAGTGACGTTAACCATGTGATATACCATGTGATATCCACATGGCAGGCAATATACCATGTAATATCCATTTTTATGCCATGTGACTTGAGTTTCAACCAATCACAGCATGCGTAACAACAGTGAGATGTAAACAGTTTGAAACACCAATATGAATTTCAATGGGGCATTTTACAGATTTTTTTTCGCGTGTTAAAGTCCATTTTCTTTTAGTTTAGTTTCTTGTATTTTTCTAGTTTAATAAGAAAGTTCACGGCCATTTACAAACATTGTGATGTAATAATAACTGACATTTTTTTTTCACTTTTCAGCGAATGACTCTTTACGTGGCTGAAACTAATAGAGCTAAGAATTTATACGAGAGACAAGGTTACGTTGTCACTAATAATGAAGATGGCTGGTTATTTACTTACTGTGCTGTAGGAGTGCGGGTAATTTGTACAAATTTCATTGAAATATGCAATTATAGCTTGCATGACAGCACAGATGCAAAATACAATGCATAAGCAGGATTATTTACTACATTGTTACAAGCCTGAAGTATAGTGTCAATTCCTCCAGTGTTTTTAAAAAAACAAACAATTTTTTAAAAAACCTTGAGCTAAATCTATTATTTTACCTTTCTTACTGTACTAGTAGAACCATATATAGACTAAACATCACATGTGTTATATACTCATATATCATTGAATTATTACTTATTTTGACCTTTGTACCAGGAATTTACGGTATAATCAAAATATCACAGAATTCTGGCAAATATTGCAGATATTTTCATGAGATTTTAAAAACAATAACTATTGTTATTTTTTTTTTATTTCAGCGATGGTGCAAAATGGACAAAGTTATTCAGTAAAAGGACTCCAGGATTTATGTTATTGAATTTAAAAAACAATCTTAATGAGTTTTTTAACAAAATTAAAAAAAATATATATATATATATAATTATAGGATTACAGAGTATAATCTTTAGGGACAAACAAAACCTCAGTGAGTGTCTATTATTTACAAATCTACTTGCTTTAAGATCATATTCTGTCATCATTATTAGTTATCACAAATCTCTAGCAGCGAAAATTTACGATTTACAGTATTTTCATAGCAATTCACGATAAACATTATTTAAAAAAAATAGACAGTATTCATCAGAATTTTCCAATAATTTGGGTCAATTACACATATCAGTAACCATTTTAACTACGGGTACATATGATTTTTTCCCCATATTTACTCAAGCGAATTTTTAAAGAATGACAAGTAAAATTTTAAAACATTATTACTGGCATATATACTACCAATGGTAAATGGCTAAAAAAACAAAATTTGTTAATGGCGTTTGACATGTATACTTATTCACACTGTAATTCGGTGACCTTACCTTTTTTTCTGGATTTGAGGGCAAATCTAAAATTAGGCCATATAGTAAAAGTCAAAACAGTTTTGTGATAACTTTTAATGGTTGCCATGTTTATATACCTAATGTAAACATATTTTATATTTTTATGAGTTTATTGATGTATTTTTACAGATTGTCAAATAAACTCGCATCCTGATTGCCAACGAGTCACTCAGTGCTTCTCAGTTATATATGCTATAAAATTTGACAATCAAAATCTGGTCATAAATAAATGGTCATAAAATTCTCTTACATAAAATTTAACCATGATGTACATGACGGCCACTACCCTTTAAGTACATACTAGTATACCCAGCTTAGTAACCGGCTTAATTGTGGCCTTATAAATATGAGCATTTGTATAAATTTCATATAATGTTTTGTATACAACTGAGCAATTTTCATTCAATCTTGGTGATAAAAATGAACAGTATCTGCTTTATTTGTAGCACATGTGTTTTAATGTTTATGTAAATTTTAATAATCAAGTTTTTGTTTTTTGGAATCTTTTCTTTATAATATTATTATTGTAATTTTCTTTTTATTGTAGTATTTTCCTTACCATACATTCATTACCCACAGTTAATAATTGTTGAGTAATAAAGTTATTATTATTATATAATCAAATCTGTTCATGGTGACCACCTTTGCTTAGTTCCCATGGTATTTACATACACTGTATACTAGTTTTTATTATTCTCCATTTTCTTGGCTTGTTTTTGTCACAGTTTTAGCATTGACTGAATTTACCATTGTTTTAATAATTATGTGGTGTACAGAGTGCTGTTTTATTATGTTTTTTATTCACTGACATTGGAGTACCTTTTAGGGTGTGATTTATGTGGATACTTGTTGTCATGGTGTTATGGAATGTAACTTATTTTGGGTTGTTAGGATTCATCATGTACAAGAGTGAGACGTGGGTTTATTATGCTAATTGAGAGTGACCATCCTTTGATCTGGAGAAGCGGATTGGTAAAAAGAATTCGTTAAAAATAAAATAAAAAAAAGACAGAAAATCAGGACTTTGTGACAGTGAGCGGAGAAAGAATTCATGTAAATATTACTGTGTTGATTGTTACTGAACACTTATGACAGAGAGGGAATCATCCGAGTCAACATTGAGTCAGCTGAGCCTGAGGGAGCCCTGAATCCTGCGATACAGACTTATTTCCATAACTGGAAGGCGTCTTGTGTTATGTAAACCATGAGACTGACATTGGAAACCTGATTGATTAACTGCAGTAGTGCAGTAAACTCAAAACATTGGCATGCAAGTTGTTCTATTGCATGTGTTATTATGATTAGTGATCGTGATGTCATTGTCTATTGCCATATAAGGAATTGCATGCAGTTTGCAGCTGATTGAGACTGTATTAATGCAGAGAATAGTATTGACTAATAGTTTATGCAGTGATATTTGTATATAGAAGTTTTATTGCTTGTTATTACTAAATTGTACAGACATTTGATACATTGAGTGCTGTTTGAGACACAGTTATGTAGTAGTAGTAATATGAGGCTATTACGAGAATACCTCAAAGTATGCACGAAGATAGTACAGAGGGAGTATTGACCGTTGCGATGACGTACTGTCCGAGTGCATACTTTGAGGTATCCTTGTAATAACTTTATTATTATACATCTTCTCCTACCAAGGATACATCATGGGAATGCCGAAATCCAAAAAGTTTAGAACAGAATCAGCGAACTTCTTTGTGTGGGGTCTGGTCAAACCCTGGTGGCAGCTATGTTTGTTTTTATTATTAGAGGACACTTACGTGCATAATTATTTATATATTTTTTTATATGGTAGAATGAAAATACCCCGTAAAATAACGTAAAATTACGGCACACTGTAACTTATGAAGTTATGGTGACAGATGTATAATAATTGTGATTCATAGCTAATGTTATTGTGGATACATTGCAGTTGGCTTATCTTGTATTGTATGTTTGCTAGTTGTTTGATAATATTCTATTTATTGTTTGAAAATATTAACGTCTCATTATTTGTGATAGCGTGTTTGTGTGTATGGTTAGAGCTGGTTTGACACAATACTTATCCATTGCCCTTTGAATAGAGTAAACCATTCTCTTGGGACTGTGTGTGCTAGCACCCTTTAAAACATTTTATGTTCCCCATTGTCCACTTCAGGTCTTGAATATTGGTTTGAATATTAGTTTGATTTGTGTTAGTTGCCTGGTTTTTGACTCTAAATTATCCCCAAAATATGATCTGAGGGATTACCCATCATAAACACTGCATTGAACAAATTGATAAAACACCTTTGACACAAAAAACTAAAAAACCGCAGCCGTGAAGAAAAACTAGCTCACAACTGTGAAGGAGCATATAATTTGCACAAGTATTCTACCCCTCTCCCTCCCTCAATTTCAAGTGGTCGGGTCCAAAAGTGATAGGATTTTTTGTTTGTTTAGAAAAATCCGCGTGGAGGAAATCCACCAAATGTCGATCTATCAACAAACTAACATACTGTAAAATGACTAATTTTCACTGGGTTTAAATTTCACAGATTTAGCATTTCAGGCATATTCAGTGGGTTTTAAATTCACGCATGACGTATGTTACTAACGTCCACGACATGAAACCTATTTTAACTCCATCACTTTCATCCGCCTGTTTCGAAAAAAACAACAACAAAAAACATCATCTAATTAGAGATATTTTCCTCGTTTTGTAATAGCTCTACAGTATTCTGATATCGGGGAGTTCGGGAGACTTCACTTGCATTGTTAACGCCCTCTGTTGATGGCTACAAAAATCGAATTCGACGGCAGAGGGCGCAATATTGACTGACTTGTGATGAGCGGCCGCAGGAGCAATCGTGGCACAGGCAATGCTGACGTAATTTTATCGTCGCAGACCACCATCTGTTCCATGTGTGATCTTTAACACTTAAAAATAATAAAAACCGTCACCATATTTGAATTTTTTATTCCCCATTGACGTTTCGTCAAATAAAAACATGGACATTAATAGAGCGTTAATTGAACCCTGGTATTACCGGTAATGTAGCGTACGTATGTGACATTTCTATGGTTGAATGTGACCATAACATTCATTCGCATTTGTTTGTCAGTCTACTAAATTTTCAATTACGACAAACGAACAAAACTCAGCCAGTGGTTTAGGCTTCTCCAATGAATCTGTGGCACACCAATCAGATTGTGGCACACCCATCCATAGTACTGACTAATTCCGTTCGATGGCGTGCAACCTTCAACAAATAGGAGTTTCAACTCAGGACCACCGGACATGACAAATGACTGGTGACCGGTTCGTCTCGGATCATGCGCTTACAACACCACAGGAAACGGTGCTATCTCTCACTGACTTCTAGATAACATTGCGCGTGTACGTCACTGTTAAGGGGGCGACCATTAAACATCACGGGGGTGGCCAGAAGATTTGTTGGGGAAAAAAGTGTAATCTAGACAACGAGAGAAATTGCATGCAGTGTGTTGCAAGAAAGATAAAACGTGTATTGGTCACGCATCGCCGCCATGATTAGTCACCCCTAAATTACTTATGTCAGAGGCGGCGACACGAAATTTTGCATTTTGAGGGGCAAATTTTGCTGACACAACAGGTTTCAACTTGATTTTGGAGGGCGACGCCCCCAACATTTTTTTTCGGGTTGGCGACCGCCCCTCTGCCCCGGTGCCGCCGGCACGGTACAAACATTTCACAAAATATGAGAGATATAAAATATATTAATATACATTTATTGTTATGTCAATTAAAGCGTGGTAGTCGTCGTGCTGCGCGTGTGCGAGATATATGGGTCTCATATAAACAAATATGGCGATTTTGACTGTTGAGCAGATCAACGAATATGAACTGAGACGTTTCCACGCTTTAATTAGATAATTTTCGAAGGTATTTAGGAGTCACTGGCGGTAATCAGTGCATATTGCGCCCTGGTTAAACCTCATACTTGTGATTCCATTTGAAGAGCGCATTGGATTGTGGAAAAATCAATGTTTATCAACACAAATGTCACACTTGCGCAGCGCGACGACTACCACGCTTTAATTTCTTCTTCCGTGCATTTATTCATTTATGGTGTCATCATTTCCCCCGTGTACGTGTGAACGACACGTTCGTGTTTATCTGTGTTATCACACACTGATACCAGGGAGGTCATTTACCATACCACTCAACCCATTGTGATAAACTGATAGTAATAAGTAGATTGCCTCATTTATTTTAACGTCGGCGCAATATATGTCACTTCAAGGCTAGTGTTTCGTGATTTTCATCACTCATAGGACGAACTGTCCTGTTTTAGAACAATAAACCGTTCTGTAGTAACGAGTTTTCGTAGAGGCCCAATATCGTACTCAAAACAAGCGTACGGACAATACAGTATAATACCGTCACCTCTAACTAAGCAACATATGCGCAGCGGATTGTGTCCTCGGCACGGCCGGGCAGCTATACTACACGCAAATGCGCACGCACTCCACGGCGCCTCACCCGACCCGCACACCTTCAGCACTCCTTATAACTCGCCATCGGTGGACATTCTCTGTCCCAGCGCACAGTGTATAATGCGTCGGGCGTTAGAGTCTACTTGAGCAATACCACATTATTTGTAAAATATAACCTTAAAATCATCGGTCACAGCTTGTTCCCTGGCCATGGCGTCGAGACGCAATGCTCAGCTGTGTTTTATAGTTCTGTCATGAATTAGTTTTCGCGTATCTGTTAACCGACTTAATTAGCTGATTATTAGCTAAATTGCTGTGTTATGTCTGTCATCGTTTAGGTCTATTTGAAGTTTTGGACGGAACTTGGCTCAGTGATTTGGAACTAATTACGAGATAACCGCCGCTATTCTGACAGTTGATTTCCATAGTTATTAATGTAGTGAACGATTAATCAAAAGATATGACGTATCCAGTACTTAGTGTGATTGGCTTTTTGATTGAAGGTTACGCCCTAGAGTCTTTTTACTGTTTTGTAATTGGTTAGAGTTTTGAAAATGAATAAAGAGAGTTTGAGTCGGTCTTGGCAAGTACTCTACGATAGACGCAGTCTAGAGCAGTCCTGGAGAGCCTTGGGGCGAGCCTTGACGCAGTCTAAGAGAGTCTTGGTTCAGCCTTGCGATAGTCTTGGGGATTTTTCCCCAGGGCACTGTGTCTGATAGAGTGCTCGATTGACCGACTAAGACGAGAGCTGAAACGTATTTCGTTGTGTGTGTCCTATTTGACTGTAAAGTATAAGTGACTTTCCCGATCCCATACCTCAAGGGGACGAGAGAGAGAGAGACGAGACGAGATTCCCCCCTGACAAGTGTGGAGAACCCCGAGAGAAAATAATTTACCCCTGATAGTTCCTCACAAACCCGCGGTTAGACTATTAGAAACTTTGGGGTCGATGGCAGAATTTTTTTTTTTGAATGTCACTGTTGTCCCTCCCGACTTGCAAGTGCTAGTGTTGACACATAGTGCATTTTGCCACAGAAGTCATATTCATGTTTGGGACTACATGACAGAGCTGTGTGTCCATCTCTGTGTCAAATGGCAATTTTAATGCGCTATCCTGGCGTCAACCAGACTCGGTCGAACACAAGCACCTGCGGACCTTAAAGCGCGGTGGTCGTCGCGCAGCGCGTGTTCGAATTTCATGTAAACAATGTATTTTACACGCATTGTATACGTCGCTATAAGACGACTGCCGTCATTTAACCAAGGTTCCCCAAAGTCGCATTCATTAGTGAATGAATCTCGGCCAGTCATGAGTGGGATTGGCCTTCCCATTGAGTCAGTGGTACACTCACCCAGGGTAGGGGTCGACCCTTTTGATGTTCAGCCTAAGGTAGGATTTTATGACTTGGGTCTACCGATCATGAGTCCGATATGACAACCACTATGCTACCAGTGACCGTCAATGGCAGAATTGAAAACAAAATGCACAGGAAAAACCATAGGAAAAAACATACAGCGATCAGTAACAGAAAAAAAAAATTGCGCCCTTATTATTTATAATAATGAATGAAAAAATAAAACAAAACTATATTAAGAAAAACGTATTTTGCATATTTTCTTGCTATCATAACCAGAGTTTCTAATGGTACCCTCAGTAGCAGTCTACAGTAATTTGAGAGAGAATATTGAGCATGTCTGTAAACCGTAGTGCCCGCAAATCTAATTAAACGCCGGTACGATCGGTTTATAGAATCGTGCCTGGGAACAGTTGCCTACAATAAATTATTTCTTATGTTGTCGCGAAGCAACAACTTTAAATGTGCATCATAAAATGTATTTATTTATAAAAGGTGGATGGGTGAAAGTTTATTATAATAGACGTAAAATCTCACAGTGTGTACATGTGTTAGGGGTGGGGGTGGGGGTTGACCACTCATTGTTCCGGAATACACGTTTCCTATATTGCACGCCACGTAGCGACGAAACGTGCAGCGACGTTACATGGATGGATTCATCATAAATTCATCATTTAGAATACAGACAATGTTTTAAACATTTTATTTAATATTGACAGACTAAAGTTCAATACAATACAAATAGTAGCATTTTGATATTACCCGCTGTCGCCACAAACACGCTCCATCGCTAGAGGGCGCTACTTATGCTGTAGGCCAATTATGAACACAACCGGCGTAAATTTCTTGTGTCTAAATCAAAGACAGTGTATAGTGTTTTGGCTGGCATATTCAGATAGATAAAAAAAATGGCCGATTCAGCTGACTTTTCACTTATACAATTCCCTACAGTGTTCCATGGTCACGTGACATTGAATCACTGTACTATTATTCCAGAGACATGCGTTCCACCTCGCAAAACTGAATAAACTACACACCCACCACGCCCACACATATTTATTGATCATTACTGTAGTAAAGACAGGATATGATCACCAATGTGGCCTTCATCGGACGTTGTGAACAGGTGTAAACATGTTAATCTTTATAACAACGAAGTTATGTCTTCAAATATTGGTTGACAATTTATCGAACAACAAATACATTTACTATATGCCAATTACAATGACATTAACGCACTATAAATGCACTAGTCGAGTAATATAATACGTATGTAACACTGTACGTTGACATTTAGAAGGGTAATAAACAATATTATGTCTAATACATATATTAACATGATAGCCCCAGTAAACAGATTATTCACAGAGACACCGCCGGGCTAATCATCCAGACGCTGCAGACATAGTCCGTCGTTGTCATGACAATGTTATATATTACGTGGCGATTGTTGAATCCTTGCAGGAATATACTACCCGGGCACTGGAAACAATTGCACGCCGGCGGACACCCTCTACAATTATATATACGCTTTTTTTTCAGAATACAATTGACTATATGTTGTATTCAAAATAAATAAATGTCAATGAAGTTTTTATTATTATTATTTTGCTATAGCTGCCACCGTTTCACCGGATGAAATAAGATTGTCTGAACTTCCGTGAACTTGTGTGTACTAGTATTTGACAACAATGTGTGTTTACAATTTGAATTTGACCTTTCACGGTAAAAAGTAAAATTCCTTATCTTCATCAAACGAATTGAACATTTTCAAAATTGAAATGTACTGTTAACACCCATCTTTCTCCATGCTGACGTAACAAAAAGTGTTTAATTATTTCTATGGCCTATAAAATTTACGCTTCTGGGTCAAGGGGTCAAGGGTCCTGTTCCGCGCCGTACTATATATATCAGATTTTAAGGTGTGTTTTGTAGAACACATTCGTATTCGGGGCTTGTTTTCCGTTGGATGGGGATAGTGGGGAGGGGGTTTCAAAAATTCAGTCACCACCGCCTGAAATAACGCACAATACAATGCAGTACGTGAGTTTTCGTGAAATTTCGCCAACGACTGTTCCGTCAAACAGAGAAAACAGGCTCGTCGTGTGCGGGCAAGTGTGTGGGCTTGCTCTTACTCTGGTTATCACCGGGGGGATCCTATTATCGACCGCCACAAACCACTGGGCGCACGACGCCGACGATGTGCACTTCGGTCTCTGGAAAGTATGCCAGCGAGAGGACCACCGCGCAGTCGAGTGTTTGCCGTACGTTTCAGTGCCGGGTGAGAATATGTTATATTTATTTTATGCCATCGGCAACAACTACAAAAACAATTTTACGGCGGTTCATGAACAGGCCGATATCAGCCTGAGTCTGATCTCGCTACTTGCAAAGCGACTTCTATCTTATCTTTCTACAGTATATTTACATAACACATATTGATGACACTGGAATAAGTTATGAACTTGGCAGGCCGGGTGAAAACGAGTCCAGATTCGTCATAACTATTTCTACTAGCCAGTTTAGCCGTGTTTCGTAAACGAGATGTGTGTCCGCGCTCCCCAGAGCTCATGAATGGGCGCATTGTTATGGTTGCTGTTTTATTAAGGATATCACGCGTTGCATACTAAACGGCACAGACTTGGCGTTTTATTACACACTGTATTATTCTTAGCTGCGACCTACTGCCCTTGATATTCTGTAGATCTCTTTAATCCGTGTGATTTATAGTTTGGATCGTCTAGAGAACACAAAATGGTTTCCAAGACCCACATAACAGAGATATATACCCCTCCGGCATTTAATCGTGCCAACGATTTCATTGGGCGTGATATCATTTGAAAGTTTACTGATACTCGCTTACACCATGGAAGGTACCTTCCATGCTTACACGTACATGTAACCCTGGTTTAAATCGAGTCGGTTGAGCTCAATTATGGACATTCTGTGACTAACTATAGATAATATGGATTGCCTCCCAACAAACTATGCCACACAAAAAGTTGGTGTACATTACCCCAATCGCCACGTAAAGTTTTGGGTAAACAAACACTGTATTTAACACGGGTTGTGTATTTTGCATGAAATACGACACGATGGGGGTTTTCAAGTAATGTTGGGTGGTTGCACAGAAACAGAAAACAAAATAATTGACTTATTTGGCGATTATATCGTTAGAAATGACGCCAAAAAACAAAACAAATGTTATAACCACATATGTTCGAACAAATTACGTCCTGCTAATTCTTTCTTTAGAGAAAGTTGGTCATAAATCGCATAACAATTTTCGTTTGGTTTATTATGTACAATCATGGAGCTATGGGCCCATGGCACCGTAAAATAGCATTCTTTTGTGTTACAGTACCTTGAGAAACTTGTTCTAATATTTTTCAAAAATCGCTATTTTTAAAACAATTTCATTGACACTTTTTAAAACCCAGATTCCCCTATAATAAGTCAATATTTTTATATTGCCCGGAAGTACAATTTATTTAAAAAACGAATAAATTCTGGGTATTTGAAATGATGAGTAGGCTTAAAGAAACGCATGTTCCCGTTGGATGAAATACTGATGTAAACAACTGAGCATACTCTCCAAATTACTATTACGTAAGACCAATGAGCAACTTGCTGCTGTGTAATGAATTCCCTTTAAATTGACCCCCACCCTCACATTTCTACCCATCGCTACAACCTCGTAACCTCGTATTCCATTGCGTTGTTCATTTGTTTGTTCAGTTTTTTTGTCTTTATTGCATTTTAGAACATGTGTACGTGTGTCGAATTTTCATGGTGAGCGCATGCGCACTATCATCGCTGAGTTTCATCTGTGCTGGGTATGGATTTCTATGGAAGCATCCACAAAGAATCTATGTAGCAGCAGGTTTTATGCTGGTCGATGGTGTGTATTGTAATTTGGATAATAAGATCATTTTTAGTATTTTTGATTGATATTGCATTTTATATGTTGTTTTTTGTTGTTATTTAACTGCCTCATTAAAATGAAAACTTGTTATTCTTGACAATTGAATCGACGTGGTCAAGAGAATTTACCAATGCTTCGAAAACTTACACTCCTGTCACAGAGTCGGTAATATCTTCCAGTCCAGTGGTCCACCTCAACATCGACTGCATTGAGGGCGCTGTATAAACTTAACCGTTGCAACTTCCCGGGTAAAAAAAAACTAACATGCAGCAACGAGTTTTATTGGCATGTACAGCACGTTTCAAAGATGTAATTAATTGATCCAGTTATATGGATCGTATTTGTTGAAATTGTAAATTATGTATTAGTGTAGACTGTTCACAGTCCTCAGGACTAATTTGTTAGTATACTAAATCAGTGAAGGCAGGAGACCTGAGAACTGGAGGACTGTTAACGCTTGTAAACGCCCTCACGCGGTGTTACATAGTTTTCCACCGGTACTGAACAGAGAACTTACGATTGACAGCTCATGCATGTACCGCTGGAATAACTTCGGCGTTTGCTGATTTAGTATACTAACAAATTAGGCCTGAGGACTGCCGACAGTCTAGTATTATTCAAAATGATGGCGTGTATCAACCATACGAACCATTAAATGTACACCAACATCAACAAATCTAAGTCAAACTGATCATCATTTTCATCCTTTTAGATCTCTTCGTCTTTGCCGGTACAGTCATATTCACAGCTTACTACTATTCTCTGTACAGTATATCTTACGGTGTCATAGTTGCCTGGGTGATGATGCCGCTAGCTCTCATAACAGCCGCCATGTTCCTGCTAAGCAGCCGTCGTCGTCGCCCTGGTAACCGGTTGCTGAGAAACGCGACGGCTGCACATTATGGTAGCCTACATAGAAAACAACTACTGGAAAATGAAGACGATTATTAATACACCTACCACCATAAATCGCGCCCTCTAGTGGCGACGCCCTCCCGCGACGTACATGTGGATAAAAGATGATTCACAGCAAGGTCAATATTGTTTATTACATCAGTGGTTATCGCCAACGCAGTATTTGCTTTTAGAAACATTGTTCCATTTACATCACTTTGACTACAGGGAAGCATTTGGCCCGTAGAGGGCGTGCCTTATAGATGGCGTAGTATGAAGGTTTGAATGTTGTGACCTGTGTCTCAACGTTGTTCCAGTTTTCCTAATTTTCTAATTTCGTTACAAATGCGAAAATTATACAACTGTTTTTTGATGCAGTTGTAAAAAATACAAGACCATAGAGCTGCTATTTCTTGATCGAAAGCTTATATTTTCAATTTTTATTATTTTTCTTACATGTTGTTCAAGTTGAATCACTGAGGTGCGAATGAATGAATCAATGAAATAAACTTTATCATTACCGTTTGTCCCACCTCCTGTAATATATGTATTATAATATTCTAATTTTAATTTTCGTGGTGAGGACTCATCATAATTATATGTAACGCACTGTGCTCCACCAAGAGTTCCAGCGAAATGCCTTTCGTTCAATTAAACGACATGACGTCATTTAAATCAGCAACGTTTACGCCAAGACATCATTGCTTTAGAACTCAAACCAAATATATTTTGTTATACAAATCTTAGCTTTATCTATCGTACAATCGATACTATATGTTGTACAATTTTACAGTATTATCAACAATTAAAGTATTTACGACAGAATACGAGTTGATTACTTCACAACTGGCCCCGTACATGATCACGATTTCTTGGTTCACCAAATAAAAACATAGCTTAACCATGTAAGTCGTATGATTAAGATTTTGAGAGAT